AGCGTAACTGCCGGTCAGTGCATAGTATACTGTAAAGACGCCGCGTGGCCACATTTTCGACAACATAAGCTCATTCGTAAAGTCACTTCCCTCTCCATCAAGCTTAACTGCCGGTCAGTGCAAGTATACTGTAAAGACGCCGCGTGGCCACATTTTCGACAACATAAGCTCATTCGTAAAGTCACTTCCCTCTCCATCAAGCTTAACTGCCGGTCAGTGCAAGTATACTGTAAAGACGCCGCGTGGCCACATTTTCGGCAGCGTAGTAAAGAGTACCCGCGTGCATAGAAAAGATAATCGGCAGTTCTTTAAGAAGTGATTACAGTGAAGCCAATGGAATTATAATCAAAGGGAACATTACATACACAGCATCGAATACATCCAACCTGCAGTTCACCAGGTACATTTTTATATTAATAAATAAACAAGTCACATCTCTCGCTATTGTCGATCGGGCACACTTACGCTCTCTCGAACTGATCCCTCGACATCGTACAGGCCCGCTAGCACAAACAGGGCACACTAGCGCTCGTCCGAAGAACACTTCGGAGCCGTGCAGGCCCTGAACAGCTGACGCAAGAGTCACTGTGGTTCACACACATTGGTTACACATGACCAACACAGATCGACTAATAGACTCTACAGATACGGATTATCAAATCCTCCACGAATTGATCGACTCTACAGATACGGATTATCAAATCCTCCACGAATTAGAAATACTACTTCTAATTGTTTTTCCTGTGACTAGATTCTACTGCTGTCCCTTGTACATAATCAAAGACATAATCGATTACATAATAAATTCCATTTAAGATCTGACACCACATCAAGTATAGCTATTCATCAATCAAGCATACTTGATTCAACTACCATCTTCTCATGCTGCCTCACAAGCATGATTGACTGACGACATCAGCTGACATTGACAACATCAGCATAACCTCAAAGCAAGACAGCAATATCCAAAGAAGCCTTTATAGCAGAAAAATCACAAGAACACATCTTTTGAATAATCCAACAGAATTATTTATTTCTACACAACAGTGCAATATTATTATAATTGTTTACACTCATTAAACCTTGTTTAAAATAAATATATTATATTTTTCAGCCTTATCCGTTATTGATTTCCTTTAAAATTATCCTGCGGAGAGACTAATCCACTGAACTATTGAATTGGCAGTTCGAGCCATAAGCTAACCCTTTAAATTCGAACAGATACTGTTAATATTCTTGTAGCAATGAATCGAATGTTCCTATACATATTTAGAGTGTTTTTAAATTATTAATGATGTTATCTATTATTGTGTGAATTCACGAAAAGTAAATAGAAGAACTAAATCGAAAAATGAATCGAGTTTCACCAGTAATAAAAAAATTAATTTAATATCGTATCAGGTCGTATCGTATCGTATTGAATAAGATATGGAATTTGTTCGGAGTTATTTTAGGAATCATTGTGACCTAAAATGATAAACCAACTCTGCTAGTATTTAATGCTATTCTAAAATGCAATACTGCATCGGAAATATATTCTGTATTGCATTGGAAAACACGTTGCAAAGTACGTATTCTTTAATATATTCTTAACTATCAAACATGATATTATCTTCTCATTTCAATGAGTTCAAATTGCTTTACATATTCTAATTATTTAAAAATTCTGTTGTATTTTATAATGACACAGTCAAATTATAGTTTGAAACATATATCTAACTTGTTAGTTTTAATTTAATTCATTTAAAATTCAAATCGACGTTTAAATTACAATTTTCTAAATAATGTTATATATTTATATACATATACTTATATATATATATATATTTTTACATATAAAATATAGTGTTATGACATGAATTAAGATTAGTATATATACAATTTTCTGTTATATAAAAAGTAAAAGATAAATGACAACGAAGATATACATTAAAAAATAATAGTAAAAGGTATATAAATATATCTGGTAATGGTAGCATGTAAAGTTACATCTATCTCTAAAACGACTATATATATGGTATTGTATTCTTGTATCTTTATTTTTCATTATGATTTGTCGTGAAAGAAGCTGGAAATTAAGAAAATAAGTAGAAGACAAAATAGCTGATGTTGAT